ATATATATATATATATATATATATATATATATATATATATATATATATATATATATATATATATATATATATATATATATATATATATATATATATATATATATATATATATAGTTGAAAAATATGCTTTTCTTGGATCCTTGTATATTTTTTATAGGATGATTCTTAGGGTTTGGTCCACAGTGAACAAAACTCACAAATAATTATAAAACACTGTAATTGTCATTGACGTTTCGACCGGCAACCCAGGTCTTTCTCAAAAACTGCAAAACAAAGGACAAAAAAAGCGTCTAACACAGAATATCTTAAACAGTAGACATATACGAATTTAAAAATTACAAATATTACAAAAACAAATGACATATATTAGTCATACTCACAAATTTATTTATTTTTTTAAATGTCTATTATTAGCGCTGTTTGTGAAAAAGTACCACAACATACATCATTGCCAAAAACAATAACGTTCTTGTTTCGGCGTACGAATCACAAATAGAAGTGGAAAATAAACATTCATTGTATCTGATGTCTTTTTTTTTTCCTCTTAGTTTTTATTTATTTATTTTTTTAGAGTGTACGTTTGTGTTAAGTTTAAGATCTACTGATACGCAGTGAAGCATCTGAACAATTCGAAATAGATTTCACTCAGGTGTTTTATGTCGGTTTTCGCGTTTATGGCGTTTTTATTCCTTTGAATATGTATCATCTCAATTATTTCCCTTTTTTGTGTGTTTGGTTCGGTAGCGAGTATTTTTGTGTCATCGAAGTTAAAGGTATGTGTTTTCTCCGTTATATGGCTGCTGATGGCTGTTTTGTTTTTTTTGTCGTACTTATGACCATTGATGCGGTTCTTCAACAGTTGGCTAGTCTGTCCAATGTACACTTGGTCACAGTCGTTGCATGGTATTTGATATACAATGTGACTTTTTTTATCTTTGGGTATTGGTGTTTTTAGTTTACTGAAATTCCTATTTAACAAATTTTGACGCTTGTGGCAGATTGTTACAGAGCTTCCCTTAAACACATTCGAGATTTTTTCCGATAAATTTGGTATGTATGGCAACGAACAATATTCTCGTTTTGATGGTTGTGTGTTTTCCTTAACAGAAATCTTGTTGTAGAATTTATGTATCCTTCTTTTAAAAATAGAGTTAATTAAGGCACTTGGGTAATTGTTTAGTTTTAGTGTGTACTTAGCCTTATATAAAGCTTCTTTTCTGTACTCTGGATCAGATAGATTTATAGCTCTGTCAGCCAACCCGATAATAACAGTCTTCAATCTCTAAAACAGTATCAAAATAATATGGATACCATAGTACAAAATAAGAACTGGGTAGAAAATTTAACTATTTATATTCCGCGTAACCTGTTTGAGATCTTTAGTCTTGGTCCAGATCTTGCCGTACCTATCAGCCAACCAAAAGAGATACCCATTCCTAACATCATCAGCAGTATTGAGTCAGCTCTTAGAAACTGTTCAACCGACGCACGGAATGACTATAGATCAAAATGCTGTAATATTATTAGAAACTACAAAAATAAGCAAAACTGGACTGCTAACCAAACCCAAAATATGTTAGTTAAAAAAGTTAAAGAAACCCAACATTTTCTAAAACAAAACCCTAACATTATAACGTTAAAACCTGATAAGACTAACAAAACAGTCATAATGTACACTACCGACTATGACAATAAAATAAATGAACTTCTATCAGATAGGGCCACATATAGCGAATTAAAAAACGATCCCACAAACATATTTCAAAAAAATAACAACGATATAATAAATCGATGGGAAAAAGCTCTCCTAATCTCGCCGCAAACTGCAAAACACTTAAAAATTAATAATGCTATCGCCCCAAGGATCTACGGCTTACCAAAACTGCATAAACAAAATATCCCGTTAAGACCTATTGTCTCTTGCACTCAGTCCCCTTTCGAAAAATTATCAAAATTCTTAAAAAACATCTTAAAAAACATAGTGAATGACAATGAATACTATATTAAAGATTCGTGGCAGTTTAAAGAAAAAATTAGCAGAATCATTCTACCGCATGACCACATTTTAGCATCTCTAGATGTAGTGTCCCTCTACACAAACATTCCTATCGATTTAGCTATAGACATAATAAATAAAAAATGGGACATGATCAAACTTCACACAGACATTCCACTAGACGAGTTCGTGGAAGCCATAAAATTAACTCTAAATTCGACCTATTTCATATATAATAATAAATATTACAAGCAAATTGACGGTTGTGCCATGGGTGCTTCTATTTCGAGTGTAATTGCGCAACTTGTTCTCGAAGACCTAGAAAAAACAGTTATTGACAAAATGACTATTAAATTACCCTGTTTCTATCGATATGTCGACGACTGTTTTCTAGCAATACCTAAAGAAAAGGGCGACCTCATTCTGAATAGTTTTAACTCATATCACACAAAGATAAAATTTACCATAGAATATGAAAAAGATGACAAAATTAACTTCTTAGACATGACACTAATACGCAAGGAAAACAAAATCAGAACGATGTGGTACACAAAAGATACATGGTCTGGACGATACCTTAATTTTCACTCCCAACACCCAATATCACAAAAAAAGACTGTTATTATCGGGTTGGCTGACAGAGTTATAAATCTATCTGATCCAGAGTACAGAAAAGAAGCTTTATATAAGGCTAAGTACACACTAAAACTAAACAATTACCCAAGTGCCTTAATTAACTCTATTTTTAAAAGAAGGATACATAAATTCTACAACAAGATTTCTGTTAAGGAAAACACACAACCATCAAAACGAGAATATTGTTCGTTGCCATACATACCAAATTTATCGGAAAAAATCTCGAATGTGTTTAAGGGAAGCTCTGTAACAATCTGCCACAAGGGTCAAAATTTGTTAAATAGGAATTTCAGTAAACTAAAAACACCAATACCCAAAGATAAAAAAAGTCACATTGTATATCAAATACCATGCAACGACTGTGACCAAGTGTACATTGGACAGACTAGCCAACTGTTGAAGAACCACATCAATGGTCATAAGTACGACAAAAAAAACAAAACAGCCATCAGCAGCCATATAACGGAGAAAACACATACCTTTAACTTCGATGACACAAAAATACTCGCTACCGAACCAAACACACAAAAAAGGGAAATAATTGAGATGATACATATTCAAAGGAATAAAAACGCCATAAACGCGAAAACCGACATAAAACACCTGAGTGAAATCTATTTCGAATTGTTAAAGTAGACCATTTTAATGCTCAGATGCTTCACTGCGTATCAGTAGATCTTAAACTTAACACAAATGTACACTCTAAAAAAATAAATAAATAAAAACTAAGAGGAAAAAAAAAAGACATCAGATACAATGAATGTTTATTTTCCACTTCTATTTGTGATTCGTACGCCGAAACAAGAACGTTATTGTTTTTGGCAATGATGTATGTTGTGGTACTTTTTCACAGCGCTAATAATAGACATTTAAAAAAAATAATAAATTTGTGAGTATGACTAATATATGTCATTTGTTTTTGTAATATTTGTAATTTTTAAATTCGTATATGTCTACTGTTTAAGATATTCTGTGTTAGACGCTTTTTTTTGTCCTTTGTTTTGCAGTTTTTGAGAAAGACCTGGGTTGCCGGTCAAAACGTCAATGACAATTACAGTGTTTTATAATTATTTGTGAGTTTTGTTCATTGTGGACCAAACCCTAAAAATCATCCTATAAAATATATATATATATATATATATATATATATATATATATATATATATATATATATATATATATATATATATATATATATATATATATATATATATACATTTATAAAAATGGAAGTTGATATGGAGTAAGAAACATACCATACCAGAGATCGACACTTTTTCTCGTAGGAAACTGTTTTAATGTTTACAAAGTTGCAAATAACCTCGTGGATTCTTCTTTTTGTATCAATTACTTGAGCTTTAACGCTAATCCATATCAGGTGCGAACGAGACTCGCGTTTTCCATTGAGCGATTTAGGTCGAATTACATTTCTACATCTTCTATTATAAGATGTGCTCGAACTTAATTGTGTAATGATATATGTATACAAGTTTTGATTAATTTCTCAAATATTTAATTTGTTATACCAAGCTTTTGTAAATTTTAAATTTTTATTTTGCTTAATATTCCATAGCAAATAAACAATATCTGTTCGGTTTGGAGAATAAATTGAATTGCCGAATATCGTATTCTATTAACGGTTTTATCATCGATACCTACTACCAGTTATTAACAATTTAAATACGATTTAAATGTATCAGGTCTGACTCAATTAAAATACAAAATATTGCCGTGTTGAATTCGTAACTGTTGAAATTTATTTGGTAGCATATAAACTGCTTCCATAACTATTTTTTATTTTTGATAAATAGCGGAATTCAAAATTACTTTTCCGTCTTTTACCGACGCGTCTGACAGATATTTTTTCCCAATTCCAAAAATATATAAAACGCCCCCCCTATTAAAATTAACATGGCTTGGCTTGATAAAAATGAGTGTCAGGCGTAAAATACAAACGTTGCAAGAAGACGACAATATCTGCGTCCACCGGAATATCATTAGCTGCAAATGCTATCGCAAAATAAAAAAACACAAACACTTTAATATAATACAAATAAAATACAATACAAATGCGAAATTAAAATATTTGGATCGTTTGCTACAAAACTTCAAAAGTTAGTGAGTCGTGTTGAAAAATGCAATTAAATCATATTTTCGAAAGTAATATTTATAATTTTATTTAATAATATCTGTCGTATGTGTGCCTGTTTTTAAGAGAGCGTTCTTGTTATTTTTAATTTGGAATTAAAATTTATCTTGAGTTTCGAGACCAATTTCGAGACTAATACCGGGAACTAGAATCAGTTCCCAAATAAAAAAAAATAGGTGCCGGTGGCTCTATTGAACAAAATCCAATTTCGCATTGCAGAAATGAACTCGACAGTTTCGCCTCCGTCACTGGAAGACTTAAAGTTAGACATAATTTATCAAAAGGACGCTGTAATGGACGCCGTCGAGTCCTCGTTTCCGAATGCCAGTGGCGCCGCCCGCGGATACGATTCGAACGAAATTCCCCAAATCGACGCGAACAGTAGCGCACTGACGGCAGGTAAGGTTATTTAAATTATATACATATACAGTATGTAGCATTTAAGAACCGTACACCCCATTAAAATCTTGTTTTGTTTCGATTGTGATAATTTTTTCTTGTTGATAGGTCTCTGAGAAATGCAATAAAACCTTGTTTTGCTTATTGCTTCAACTTAAAGTCATGGCCAAATAAGACTATTTGACAAGAGAAAGAGAAGAGAGAAGTACTATTAGGGATTAAAAAAAAATGTGCAACGAATTCTTATTCAGGAGTATTTAGAATTTTTATAATGTTCCAATACAGGGTGTCTGAATTATCGTTACCATTTGATTTTTTTTTGTTGGATAGATCTCTCGAAAACGAACCAAAACTAGGACTAATTTTTAATGTCAAATATTTCTGTTAGTTTCATTATTAGATGAGAATTAAAAATCATTTTCAATTAAAAAGAAACGCAGCGTTGTAAAGTCTGTTTAGTTCATATCTAATCCTCTCTAATCATATTAGTCATAGATAGTCATTAGTGTCTTTCAGTGAAAGCGATCCAATAAAAAAATTATCAAAGTTGAGCCAAAAACAAACATTCTACAGGAGTATTGCTTAAACGAACTTCATGGAAATTAGTATAGTTAAGTTTTATGTAGTCCTAAATAAAAAATGTTATTCTTAAAGAAATTCCTAATAGCTCTTCTCGATATTTGACATCAAAAATTAGTCCCAGTTGGCCATGACTTCAGGTTGATGTAATACGAAACATATGGTTTTAGTGTGTTTTTGAGAGATCTACCCAATATCAAAATACTATCAAAATCAAACAGTAATCAAATACCCTGTATTGAAATATTATAAAAATTGGTATAGTTGGGTTTTAAGGTTTCCTGAACAAGTACAGTGCTTAAATGGGACCCACTGTATATTTTTAATGTTTTGGCTATCGTTTTGTGTATATTATGGATTCTGGATTCCTTCTATGGGAGTGGATGCTATATCCTGTTGACTTCTTCAGAACATAACTGAAACTGATACTAATTGTTAAATTACGGAATACATTACACCACAATCCGAAAGAAACCCCTCACTCGTCACTGTTACACCACATTACTAGCCACATTTAAAACTTGTCCCAAAATCTCTCAACATCTTCGATCGATCAAATATAACATTCCGTATGGTACTCTTAGAGTTTACAGCATTCTATGCATATGCATTGTAGAGACATGAGAAAAAATATAAACGAAAATTAGATTCAGTCAAACGAATATTGTTTGCAAATAATCAATTCAATAAATATCTGAACGTCTATAGACAATGTTCAATGTCCCTCTTTTAGCTCCGCCCTCCTCAAACATTATCTAAGCTAAGTTCGGAAGAACTTTGATTTATAAAATCCAGAAGATTTATAAGGTTGTCACAATTAAAGAAACGAAATATGGCGCGTTTAATTGAAACCCAGAGAATTAAAATTTTTAATTTTTATTCGATATGGAGACAAAAGCAGAACTTAAGAAGTTTGTAATTTGTTGAAATCAAAATATTCAGAAAGAATCTATGATAACATCCACAGGAAGTAGAATTTATAGAAACAGGACATGTAAAAGGTAGTTCAAAAACTAATGAATACACAAGATTAAATATTTTATTAGAAGTCGATAATCCCCATCGTGCTTCTTCTCAAGTACATTCAAATAATGATTGCCAAGAACAGCTTTGCGTGTATTAAAAGAATAAGACTATCATCCGTACAAGGTCACATTACTTCAGGGGCTAAACGAAGATGACCCGGAGCACAGACTACAGTTTTGTGAAACTATGATGGAAATGTGTGAAATAAATCGATTTGTCGTTAAACTTAAAAATCCAAAACAATTTCTTAGCTCTTGTGATTTTCGAAAAGTTACTCTTCCTGTTAAATAATAATAGTAATAATAATAATAATAGCAATGTTGATCCTACAAAAAAAAAGAAGGAACTAACGTTTTCAAATCATTGTTTTCAATTGCTTTCAAAAAAGTAAAGCTACGAGCTAAAATCCGCAGGTTTTCTCTATACTTATCATAAATGTGCAAATTTTCATATGGACGGAGCTGTGAGTACGTCTTAATAATTATATCATTATGAAGACGTATATTATGCAAAAATCGCAATAAATAAAAAATATACAGACTAACTCAAAAATGCCGACTCAAATTTCATTTAGCGTACTTTACACCCTATATCAATAATTTGCCTTATTTTATATCTAATTCTAAATTTTAAGTCATCTAAGTTTTAGGGATTTTTTTCTTATACAGAGGAAAAAATCCATTGGAGTAATCTCTGGAGATATTACAGGCCATTCTGTCGACCCCTTTCTACAAATCTGTCTACCTGTCATGGGATTAGGAATTAAGTCAATTTGAGGAAATTGTAAATTGCGATCTAAGAAATAAGGTCCAATAATTTTTTTATTCAAAATCCCTGCCCAAAACATTAATTTTTTGTGTATGTTGAGTATGTTTTTTTCCATTTCGTCTGGGATTATTTGCACTCCCATACCTATTTTGTTCTATTTATATTACTAAACGGCATCTGATAATCAAAAAATGGATTTAAGTTGCACGCTTCCATCGTAGTTTTACAAAACTGTATTCTGTGGGCAGGGATAGCTTCGTTTAGCTCCTGAAGTAATGCGATCTTGTACGGATGATTCTCTTATTCGTTTAATATACGCAAAGCTGTTCTTGATAAACATCATTGTTTGAATCTACTTCAGAAGAAGCAGGATAGAGATTATCACCAACTTTTAATAAAACATTTAATCTTGTGTTTTTATTGCTTTTTGAACTACCGTTTACAAGCCCTGTTTCTATAAATTTTACTCCCGGTGGATGTTCTAATGGATCTTTCTGAATATTTTGCCTTAAACAAATTACAAACTTCTTAAGTTCTGCTTTTGTCTCCATATCCAATAAAAATTGAAACTAATTCTCTGAAACTATTTACAAATCTTCTGGATTCCTTTACACCAATTATTCTGTTGAGTGACTCGCATTTTGCTCTGTACTTGATAATATATTTTTCAAAGAAATTTCCACAGGTTTCTGTCATACTTTTCACAAAACTTCTGTATTAATGCTGCGTCGGTTTTTGTTGAGTCGAACTTGCTAACGTTTCGCCAATCATCCTGCTGGCTTCTTCAGAGCTTAACTGAAAATCAGTTACAGTTAGGAATCAACATGAAAACATTAACAAAAATCTGATCATAGACAGTAAAATCGATTCAAATAATTGATAACAATTCATATAACTAATTCGCTAAATGGAGAAAGAAAAGTTTTCTAATAATTGAATTGGCATTATTATTGTGGCGACCGATTTAACAGCTGTCAAGTGATTTATTCTCAGTTTGGTTTGGCAATTCATCATGAATAGACTCACTCCTGAACAACGCTTGCACATAGTGCAATTTTATTTCGAAAATAATTGTTCTGTGCGGAATACGTATCGCGCACTACGTCCATTTTATCGTCGGCAAAATCGTCCATCAGAGCAGTTAATTAGATTAATCATTGAACGTTTTCGCACCATGTTTGATAACTGATCCCCAGAGACGCCTTACGGTGCGTACAGAAGAAGCTATTGTTGCTGTAGGGCGTAGCATTGAGGTAGACCCGAATGAGTCCATCCCCCATCGAGCACAGGAATTGGATCTGTGTCCATCCACTTTATGGAAGATTTTGCGGAAGAATCTTGGTTTACGTGCTTACAAAATCCAACTCGTGCAAGAATTGAAGCCAAACGATCATCAAGTAAGGCGTAGATTCGTCGAATGAGCCCAAAACGAGATTGCCGTTGTTCCCAATTTTCATAAGTGAATTTTGTTTAGCGGTGAAGCGCACTTCTGGTTGAATGGCTACGTCAACAAACAAAACTGCCGCATTTGGAGCGAAGCTAATCCTCAAGTGTATGTCGAAACACCGTTACGTCCAGAAAAACTGACTGATTGTGCGCTTTATGGGCTGGTGGAATCATTGGTCCGTACTTCTTCAAAAACGATGATGGCCAGAACTTTACAGTCAATGGTGATCGGTATAGAGCTATGATTACTAATTCTTTCATTCCTGAATTGAATAACCATGATGTCCAGGAGATGTGGTTTCAACAAGACGGCGCAACATGTCACACAGCTCGTGCCACAATCGATTTTTTGAAAGACACGTTTGGTGACCGCCTAATTTCACGTTTTGGACCTGTGAATTGGCCTCCGAAATCTTGTAATTTAACACCGCCAGACTACTTTGTGTGGGGCACAAACGCTTGACCATTTGGAAGACAACATTCGTCGTGTTATTGCCGATATACGGCCGCAAATGTTGGAAAAAGTCATCGAAAATTGGACGTCCAGATTGGACTACATCCGCGCCAGCCGTGGCGGTCCTATGCCAGAAATCATATTTAAAATGTAATGCCACAAGATTATCTTTCGGATAAATAAAATTCATGTCAATCGAATAATCCATCGTTGTTTTATTGCAACTTAAAGTTCTATACATCAAAAAAAAAAACACCCCTTACTTCACAACCACTAATATTGCATCTCTTTTGTTCCATGTTGGGGATCTCCTAACTTGTTTCTGCTTTTTTGCGTGCAAATTAATTATTTTTGTTTAGTTAATTAGTTGTTTAGTATACGCATGTCTAGCGATTCTCGCGCTTGCTCATTTAAATGTAAGATCGCTTTGTTCTAACTTGGATCTTTTTTCCCAATTTATTTTGGATTTTGGATTTAAATTTGTGGGTCTTTCGGAAACTTAGCTTTTAACTCTTGTTGGTCTAAAAATTGATAGTTATCGCATTGTTAGGTATGACCATCAAACACGTGGTGGAGGGATAAATAGATATATTAATAATGATAGTTTGGAACAAATATGGTTGTCTATTAAGATCGAAGGGAAAACGTTGTGTCTAGGAACAGTTTATAGACCTCTAACTCTCTAACTTCTTGAATGTTTTGACTCTCTGGAACCGCCCTTATTCCTCGATTTGATTTTTTGATGTTTGGCGGAGATTTCAATTTTGATCTGTTAAAAACTAATGCTCTCGCTTATTTTCGACTTTCAAATATTTTCGCCAACTTCGGCATGCATCAACTAGTTACCGGGGCCCACTCGGGTTACTAGTAACTCTAGTTCCCTCTAATTTATCCTATGAGACAATATCGAAGTTCGTGATATGATATCTCAGATCACTGTATTGGTTTCTGTAATCTCAAGCGGCAGAAAGACCGTCATCCAATCCTTCTTCGGACCTTTCGAGATTTTTCAGCGTCCGATGATGAATTAACTGAGATCTTTTATACTATTTTGGTGATATAAACGTTCAAGTTGACTTTCCTACGAATAATGTGAATTATTTATTTGATATTAATGCTCAATTAAAAACAGTTATAATTAAGAGACCCCCAGCCCCTTGGCTTACCGAAAACCTTAAACTTTTAAAAATAGACACAAACTAGAAGTATGAAATTTTGTGAACTCCTGTGTGAGAGCCGAGAAAACGGCATATTTGGCAAGTACATTTAAGGCTGGTCCTAAAAATATTTGCCGTACTGTGAGGAGACTTTAAGTGCACAGTAATGCTACTTTAACGTTTGAAAACAATTTAGACCAACCTAATAGTTTTAATGTTGCTTTTACTGCTTTTGGAGCTATTGGCGGTATTGATCCCGGGTTTGTGTCTTCAAATTATATTAATAAAAAATTTAGTCCTAGCTAAAGTTCACCCTGAGGAAGTTAATTTTAATTAGTATTAAAACTAACGCTCATGGCTCAGACAATATTGATATAAAAATTATTCTTTCGAATACTTCGTATTTAGTCGATCATATCACTTTCCTTATAAACAAGTGTCTTTTCTCTGGGTTTTTTCCGTACTCTTGGAAGCAAGCTGAAGTTAAACCAATCAGTTTGTTGCCAATCGTCTCAAGGGTTGTTGAAAAAAACTGCAGCTAAACAACTTCGCCATCTCCTTTGCGATAACAAAATCCCCCCAGACACTCAATCTGGTTTTCGACCTCTTCACAGCACTACGTCTGCCTTGCTTCATGTTACTGATAATTTATTCTTTTCTCATACGCTTGGACTATAGCAAAGCGTTCGACACATCGGACCATTTTCTCCTCTTACCTAAACTGATATTCTTCATTTTTTAAACATTTTCTTTTTCGGAGATACCAAAGAGTAGTTATAAGAAACACTTAGTCAGATGCTATTGCTTTGGAGAGGGTGTTCTCCAGGGAAGTATTCAGAGACCTATTCTCTTTTCAGTTCCTACAGCTGACATCCCTACTTTTCTTAAATGTTGTGCATTTCATCTATGCGCCGATAATACTCAGTTATATTTATGTTTTCTTTCTAGTGAAGCCTTAAATGCCGCTAATAAAATAAATTTGGACCTATAAATAATTTCAGAGGTGTCTGCAGCCCAGCATTTTTGGGATTCTGGTTTGTCGGCGATTTGCGGTTTTCTAAGCATGTTGGCTCGGTGTTCCAAAAATATATTAGCTGAGGACATTGTCTATTCATAAATATCTTTTTAGGAAAGAAGTCAAACTTAAACTCTGTGATATGTTAGTTTTTTATTGTATAGTTTTAGTTATAATCTCAGGAAGTATTACAATATTTCACAGTGCCTCTCTGATTCGGGTTGTAATGTTCAGTCAGCCACTTTTGTTTTTTTACTAAACTCCAATAAGACCCCGTCGTACTGGTTTGATAAACTTTGCAGGGGAAATGATATTCATAATCGAGACACCGCCGAAAACTAATACACAGAAAAATGTTATACAATATATCAGACAATTTAAATACTATGTGCTATAAGCTGCAATTAAAATCTGGTGGACTAGTCGGTAAGTAAAGTGACATTTATAATTTAAGTTTCCCACAGAAATGTTACATACCGTTCGTATAAACTTTAGTGGTTTTTACAGTTTTTATATTGATATCTTGCCAATACCAATTGTACGATTTTCAAATATCCAAGTCTCATCAGTACAACCAAAACAAAATTGAAGGTTAGGGCCTGCCTTTTTATTTATTTATTTATTTATTTATTTATTTATTTATTTATTTATTACAAAGGTGCCCTAACATGAAGAACTAACTTCACAATTTACAAGGACACACTAACAATTATACCATTATTTAATTAACAAAGTAAAACTTATAAGTAGGTACCTACAATCAAACTTACCAAACTAAACCAAAACTAACACTGTATATTAAGTGCGTGAATTACAAAAAACAAATGTGAAAAAATAAGGAAAACAAATCAAAAATTAAAATAAATTTATAGAAAAATCCTAATTGCTTGATTTCGAAACGAATTAAGTGATAACGCAAAGATGTCAATGTGCGAAAAATAGTTATTGTATTGTCTATGTAAAACAGATATTGGGGAATTGTTACCTAAGTTTGTATTAAATCTAGGCACGTAAAATAATGAAGGAGTTCTTGTTATAACGACTCGGGCATTGAAGGATAGTTTTTCCAACAGTAAAGGACAGTCAATCCTACTATTAATAATATTATGCAAAAATATAGCACTGGAGATAATTCTTCTAACAGATAACTTCAGTATATGGTAGAAATTAAGACTAGCTTCATACGAATGAGTTAGTAAGTTACGGTTAAATCTAAAATTTAAATGGAAAACAAACTTTTTTTGTATTCTCTCGATTCTGTCTATATATTTATGATACTGAGGACTCCATATCACACCGCCATAGTCAAGGTGAGATCGAACGTAGGAATTGTATAGAATAATAAGCGATTTGTGATCCTGAAATTCCTTGCTAACTCTTAATATAAAAGCTAAATTTTTATAAGCTTTTTTTACTATATTCTCAATGTGGATATCAAAACTTAATTTTACATCTATAGTTATTCCAAGATCCCTAATCTGCTCTACTTTTTTTATTTTTACACCATTGAATGTGTAGTCAAAGTTTATATCATTTATCCGCCTGCTGAACTTAAGACAGTAACATTTATCAATATTTAAAAATAGACGATTTTTCACACAGTATTCATAAAAACGATCAAGATCTTGAAACTTATGACAGTCGTTAAGGCTTTTCACGGGCGCGTATGGTTTCTGATCATCTGCGTATGATGCTGATTTAGCAAAAAGAAAACATTTACTGACATCTGCGATAAACAGTGAAAATAACAATGGTCCCAAATGGTACCCTTGAGGAATTCCAGATGTGATGCGGGTCGTTTGAGATTTTGCAGAATCTTGTTTATACGATCTTAAAAATTTCATCCTCTTGAAAACTCTATTCTTGGATGATTTTTCTTCCAATTATAGACTTATTCTTTAAATAAACTACTTAATGATCAATTGTAAAACGGCTTAAAATTGTGTTTATTATGTTGCACGTTTGGTAAACTCCTTATCTCACTCGCGCTTGTTGCATATACTATTATTAGAGCCGCCAGTATCAAGCAAAAGCGTATGAGTTTATGATATGCGTCTATTTTTCGTACATACGATGTAGGTATAAACGGATGTGTATTTTGTTGACAATTATAGTGACGGTGCTTGTGGTTACGCGGAAGACCTCAATTTGCGAATGTCGCCACTTTTGTATTATAATTTATATTGCAATATTTTTGTTTTCAATAAAGACAGTTTATTATTATTATTGTCATTATTATTATTTAGGAATGTTCGAGTAAAAATATGCATGGTATTTTATATAAATAGAGAACATTTTCCTCATTTTCAATCGTTTTTCTGTTTTCACCATAGTAGTCAGTGGAAAAAATGCTACTAGTTTGCTAATTTAACCGACTTTTATACCTACTCATAACAAAGCTACCAATAGAAATACTAAAAGGATGTCGAACTTCCATTGTCTTGATTTTTAATTTACACAACACACAACGTTTCGGACCCTTTATCAAGTGTAAAGTGATACCACCTTCAAGCAAAAGCTACCAATGATGTGACACTTAATTTTGATCGGCCTTTATAGTTTTTATTTTAAGTTCCTCGTTTTGTTTTTATGACAGAAAAGATAATTTTCACGACGGTCGGTCCGCGACTGGAGCAGAAACTCACTTCGGATGGATCGAACGTTCTCAGGGTAACCCTGCCGATCTCCACGGCTCGCCCTTGTCCCTTGGATTGCGGCCCCGGGGGTGGCTGTCGCTCGGACGCGGAGGGACTTCCCTCCAAGTGTCTCTGTCCGCTGGGAAGAGGCGGAGACAGCTGCGAGAAAGGCAAGTCTCAGTCATTTTAAACGTAGATATATGTTTGTGTGTCCGTTTCGTTTTCCGGAGAAAACGCATTGACGGCTATGCTGTTATCTGTATTTAATTGAACACCTGCCGTATTACCATATGGTATTCCAGTAGGAACAAGCTAAAAACTTGAAGATTTGGAATTATGCGGCGCACAGTGAATCTGTTTGGAATTTTAGGTTGACAAAAATAAATTTTTCATTTGTTACTAAACTGCTCAAAATGCTATAAAAAACAATCAACAATCAAGAATAAGCAGACACTCCATATTTACAAATAAGTTCAGATTAAAATTCGTACAGTTCATAATCTAAAATCATTGTTCGCTCTATCAGCTTGAAATAAAAGATTGTGAATATGCGTTACGGACAGCTGAATTATGGAAAGGAATATTTAAGGTATGTAAATACCTAATTACCCACCTAGCATGCGGGAAGCGTCACTTTACCACGTCAGTTTCGTTTCCCATGAATCCGAGCCACTTCGGACATTTCCGGGATTTTACCGAACGGATTTGGAAGCAATCGGATGTTTTCGGAGATATTTCCCACACTTTGAATTTTGACGTTTGTCAATTCTGACGGTCATGCCAGTGAATGTAATCGTGTTGTTTTGCAAAAATATACCGAAAAACTAATACACAGAAAAGCTACAATTAAAATCTACTGGACTAGTCAGTAAGTAAAGTGACATTTATAATTTAATTTTCCCACAGAAATTTTACATACCGTTACAGTTTTTATATTAATCTCAATTAATATCAAGATCAGTTGTACGATTTTCAAATATCCCTGTCTCATCAGTACAAACAAAACAAAATTGAAGGTTAGGATCTGCTATTTCTTACTTATACGATCCTAGAAATTTAATCCTCCTAAAATCTGTATCCTTGGATGATTTTTCTTCCAATTACAGTATTTTTCTTTAAATAAATAAAATAAATTTATTAAATTAAATAAATAAAATTATTATTAATTATTTAAATTAAAATTAAATAAAAAAATAAAATTTTTCTTTAAATAAACTTTAACTAACTTTAAACTTTAAATAAACTTAATGATCAATTGTGAATGTGAAATAAACAACAAAAAGTTTTAAAATTGTGTTTATTCCGTTGTTTGTATGACATATCCAATAATATATCTCTCTCTGTCTAACGTACGCAGTTAAAAAGAGACAACAATAGCCGAACCGATCGGAACGATAAACGAATTGGTGTAATGGCCACCCGTAAATATTTTGTTTAATTATTACGAAATTCTGATAATCTGTTATTACTTTTAACTTGTTAAATTGTGATTTTTTCGTGACGGTCGTAGAAAAAGTATAGTATGCAACACGTTTGGTAAACTCTTTATCCCACTCATTTATCAAACACTCGCTTCGCTACGCTCCGCTCGTGTCAAATAAACTCGTGAGTCAAATGCCGTTTACCGCACTTGTTCCATAATATACTATTTTCTACACCCTTGTGTAAAATTCCTAATTATACACCGATCTAGCGTGCGGGAAGCGTTACTTTACCACTCAATTTTCTTCGCCCACGGGTTTTTACCACACGGCTTGATTTTTGACGTTTGTCATGTAAGTGAACGTATTCATGTTTTTTTGCAAAAATGTATCCAAAATCTAACGCTCTTAGAAAAAGTATAGTATTACGTAAACTTTTATTTGGTTATCATTATAATATATATTATCATTATAATAAGCATTAAGCGTTCGCTCCGCTCGTGACAGATAAACTCGTGACTCAAATGCCGTTGATCTTACTCGTATACTTTACACATACCAAAAACAAATAGTTTGCGAAGATTACTTATTAATTAATTAATTAATTGTTTTTTTATTTTAATTATTCATATAGTTTTTATTAATTTTTTATGTATAGTATCTTAATTATAAATCAAATATTTCGACAATCAAACGGGAATACACTTTACCGGGTGATGCATTGCCTAACGGAACATGGGAAATCCCATCTAAATTTTCGCCTGTACATTTTATGGCAAAGTTATAATATAGCTTTTTGAATGGGCGCCGATATGATTAACTCATGTGTCGATTTTGAAGAAATTAAATATGGCGGCAAAATTAGAAAAATGTTATAGTTAAGGTAATAAATCAAACACCAGTAAAATACATTTTAAAAATGACAACGCGAAAATTCGTGACAGTTACAATATTTTTACTTGTAATTGTTATACTCTATTAAGCGTGCTTTATTTAAAGCTAACTAGGTGTCGTAGAAAAAGCATGGTAGACCACAGATTTGGTAAACTTTTAATTAACTCGTTTATTAAACACTGCCGTTTACCACTTGTTGCATAATATATTGTTAATGAATACTTGGTTTTAAAGTCATCAATATTTTATTATTATAAATATGGAGTATTGCTGACTTACACCAATGGATGTTAAAGAAAAAATTGTTGATACATTTTGATGAATTTTGTCAATTCATGGAACCACAATGGAGTGGTGTTACAGGCAACAAATAATGGATAGTCAAGAAATCTTTTAATATTTAGAGGCACCTAACGTTACTGTTACTGTTTGTAATTAACAAATGTTTACATGTTTACAATATAAAATATATTGATTAAAGGAAAATACTGGATGACGCGACTAAAAGTTAGGATTAAGGTCGCATTAAAAAACCATCATTGAAGGGTCGAATGGCACAAATAATTGACCTACATTCGACGTGTAAACAAAATCCTAAACAGTTTGGCCCCAATGTTCATCAATCAATTATTGGTCTAAACAATTTCAATTTCCGACTGCGCTCTGCCTCTTCATCGTTAAGGAAAGCAATAAATATCCAAAACCGTGAGGCATGGCAGTTGGCCAAACTCTCCATACCTTCGACCTAGTTTCTGGGGTGATGGCGTTTACTTGCTCCAAATTACGGAGCACTTTTATCAAACGGATCTCTGAAAAGTTTCTATTAAAAAAATCAAGGAAATTTTTTACTCCTATGACAGAAATCTATCCTAGTAGCCATGAAATTTGTTCCTTTTGTCATGTGTCACGGTATACCAAGGTGAATGAAATTCAAAATTCAATATAAAGGTGACACTCGTGAAGTTAAAATTAAGAAAAACAGATTTTTGAGTTTTTCGTAATTGCTTTCTATAAAATGTTATTTGTTTTATAATATTTTTTTCAAAATTTTCTGTAGAAAGTGGTATATTAAGTATTCTGTGAATAGAATCATAAAAGGCAGCCATTTTGTGTTTGTAAATGTGATTTGAGATATTATGTATTATTAGATTATGTAAATTAGACGTCAATATTTTAACCACGTATTCCATGACCCAAAATAAGGATAAAATTTCATATAAACGTCTTAATTTTTAACATACAGGGTGTTAAATTGGAAGAGGTGGTGGCGATTTTATGTAAATATTATCGAAACACGTAAATATTTTTAAATAAAATTTGGTACATTTACATTTTAGGCTCTATTTAACGAACTAAAACTTAGTACTAGTTTGTCTTCAGGGGGGTAACACAGGAGAGGCGTGGGAAAAATTTGCCCGAATTTTCGTAATTTGGACTACAGAATTTGGAATCTCAAGTTTTCTACGTAAATTAGGTGCCCTTGCCGCACCTCGCCAGGACGCACCGTTTTCGAGAAAAATTCTTTTGAAAATTTAAATATAAATTATATCGAGGTGCACTAAAGTAAGTAAGCCTTGGAGTTAATGACGCGTTTCATTTGTTTGTGTTGCTGGGTAAATAAAAATTAAATGTCAATTATTCGACAGCTTTCAAATTTCTTCATTGTTGGTAAAAAATATGTTTTACTTGGATTGTTCTCATAAATAGTTTTATTAACGAAAGACAAATGGAACTGTCAACTGTAAAGCTAAGTATTCCAATAAAAATTACAAACTTTGCATTTTAATGAAAGTGCTCACGAGTTGCTCACGAAGTTTTGCGCTCCCCGCCCCCTACTGACTCTTGCCGTAATTTTCTGGAAAATTGATTGATTTGTATAAGAACGCAACATCAATATATTTATTATTCATTTAACAAACTGGAAAACTGACTTACACAAATATTTACATTTCAATTTACTAAACAGAATTCTTACAATTGAATAACTACAGGATGGATGTCTGGGTAATATATTTCAGTGTACAAAAATTACAGGAAATATTAGAAGACAATTGAGCTGCAAGATGAATTTTTACTACTACAAACTGAATTTTTTTTAACTACACTAGAAATGAGAGAAATTAGGATCTCTTTGAAGTGCTAAATAAAACATACAAATTATATTAACTTATTAATTGTCCAAAGATATCATTTTCTTGGTTATGTCTTCCAATACCTACAATTTTTTAAGCAAATTATGAAGGAACAAGCGTTCTGTCTTTAGAAGCTGTTCCTTGAACATTTTCTCCACTTAGATGTGTCTTGTGCGATATCTAGCATCTCAAAGTTATATTTATATTTTAACAGGTATCTTTCGTGATTTCGACTTTGCTTACATTGTCAATACAGGTTATACCTACGAGTTTAACAAAACTAACGCTGTGCGCCGATTAGCAAGCAGAAAAAAAAAGGAAAAAAAAAAGCTTCTGAACCACTTCTTTATAACGTGTTTTCATTATTTTGTACAAATTTAAAGAGATGGGATCTTGATTGACATCACCAATCCGAAAGTTGGTTGGCCATTGTTCTTAAGTTATTGTTGAACCAGGGAACCATTTTGTATTTTCCTGGGGTTATAAATTTAAATTTAACACCGGAGACGCATTTAAATCCAATTGGCCATTAAGTAACAGATTCGAATATCTCATTTGGTTAATTTTCATAGATTCCAACCAATTTAGTTTTTTACTTTTTCATTAAATATGTAAAATATCAAAATTATCGTCAAAGTTGTGCATTTCTGAATTTAAATAAATGGCATAGTTAGAATCCGAACTTTTATTTTTATACGCTTTTTTTATGTTCGTTAATGCATT